TGTGAATGTTGATTGCAGCTTAATTGATAATTGCCCCAAACTGGAAGCAACCAAATATTCTTTAATATATGAATGGATAAACCAACAGTGGTATATCTATATATTGGAATATTATTCAGCAATGCAAAGAAATGAACTATGAAACCACGAAATGATATGAGTGAACCTTAAATGCGTATTGCCAAGGGAAAGAAGCCAGTCTAAAAGGCTGTGTGATTCCAATTATATGACATTCTGAAAAAGGCAAAACTGTTGATATAATAAAAAGATCAGTGGTTGCCTGTGGGAGGGGGAGATGAAAATGTGAAGCACAGGAGGTTTTTTAGAGTAGTGAAAATATTCTGCATGATACTGTAACGATGGATACGTGACACTATATATTTGTTAAAACCACTAGAAGTTTTACAAAGAGTGGACCTTAATGTATGCAAATGAAAAATAAAAAACATTTAGAGGGTCAGGGGATTCCAAAATAGAATACAGACTGTGACCAAAGAATCTAACTGTATTATAAATGTGTGGAAAAACAAAAAACCATTGAGGGAGGCGGGAGAAAAAAATGCTGACCTAAGTAACTTTATAAATGAGTGTGGTTTACAAAGCTGAAGGCAAAGAAATGGCACATTAGCACTATCCTGGTGTTGATAAAGTTGTGTCTGTTGATGGTATGGCTAACAGTTCTGATAGTACTATACATGATTACTGGGTGTGAACAATCAAGTAAATGAATGGCAGGTGCCAGGTTTCTCGCTGTTGGAGTGGGAGTTTACAGATGAGCAAGGGGAGAGGGCTAAGGGGATCCATCTGGTAATGAGTCAAGAGTTGGATACATCAGCACAGCTCCTGTTTAGTTTAATGTACATACAGATAGTTACATATGGAGTTATTGATAGATACGTGCATATAAATGGGTTAGTATGCAGGCATATATTTTCTTGCTGAGTCAGCTGAGAGGGCCTAAAAGCAAGACCTTTTCAGTAGCAATCGGTGCACCCAGCACCAAGATCTTGGTTTCCAATACCAGTTCACCAAAAGCAGACAGCACTCTCTGGAGAAATGGCTTATTCCAAGACTGGGGCAGAAAACACACAAGGTGGGCCTGGAGTGTTTGTTAACAGAAAGTGCTGGAAAAACAAAAAGTCCAAATGATGGGAGTATGCAAAGGAATACAGGAAGCAACTGAAAGAGCTCCTGGTGGCCAAAACTAGGACCATTTGAGCAATAAAATAAAGCAATACTGGATTATAAAGCCAAGTAAAAAATAAATATCTTTAGAGTCTGTACTGAAATAAATGACTGTAAGTGAATGAATGAATGAATGAATGAAGAAACAAATCTCCCATGCAAAAAATTCCAAATGATTTATGTAGTTATTCCCCCCTGAAGGAGGTGGATTGTGACTCCCTATTCCATATATGGACTTCTTTCCAAAAGTTTCAATATTGGAAGTAGGAAAAGGGGGACAATTTTACAGCAGAGAAACCTGGCAAACGCTACCTCCTCCAAGGGCCCCAGGTTAACATCACCCTGTAGTAAGTCACGTTACCACGTACTACGATCTCGTGAAAATGGCACCTCACTACCTCTCTGGTCCCCTTCCCTAGAAACTCATAACCCCAGAGTAATCACGAGAAACACATGAGACAAATCCCACATGAGGGAAATTTGACAAAACAGCCAACCACTACTCCTCAAAACTACTAAGGTCATCAGAATAAGGAAAGTCTAAGAAACTATCACATCCAAAAAAAAAGTCTGCTGGGACATGACAGATGTGCAGTGGGATCCTGAGTGAGATTGGATTCTGAGTGAAATTCAGGAAATCTAAAGTGTGGATTTTGGTTAAGAATAATGTGTCGGTATCGGTTCATTAATTGCAACAACTATGCCGTACTGAGTTGTTGATAACAGGGGAAAGTGGGTATAAGACATATGGAAACTCTCTGCACTGTCTTTTCAACAGTATTTCTGTAGATCTAAATCTGTTCCAAAATTAAAAGTTTACTTAAAAATAAATAAATAAAACAGTATTTTTTTTCTGAGCTGCCCTCCCAGCTTTGATAGTGAGCCTAGAATGAAATTCCAAACTGCCTCCCTTTCCCTGCCAGTCAGGTCAAGGTGGAAAATAGTTTGCCTTTTCTTGGAAGCTGTGGCCGGCCATCCATCTGTTCACCCGTCTGTCCATTCACCGTGTAAAATGTGTTCGTTGAGCTGCTCACGTGTATCACGCTCTAGGGACATGCGTAAGAAGGATACAGCACCTGCCCTCAGATGTGCTTACCACACAGTCAGGAAAGGGGGACAGGCAGACCAATAATGTTCAGGCCACCGTCACTGCTCCTGGGCTGCCCTTGCTCCTGGCGTAGGTGTGCTGCTCTGCTCCTCCCAAGTGTACTAGGAGTCTCCTTCCTTACCCAGCCTCCGAACCCTTCCTTCTTGTGGTTGACATTAGATGGTGTGCTTTTTAAGTGACCATACCTTTTATTTTGTTCCCCAAATGTGGTCTCTTTCATATTAATGATGTTCTTTTCCAAGGTGCTTACAAGAATTCATACGATGTCCAGCGTTGTATCTAAAAGCCTTCTTGTGAATCCACAGTGTCACATACTAGAAAACACGTCTTGGGCTTGTCATGAATTATTTTGGGATGTTCCCCTCACCTTCTTACATCTATTTGGAGGCTTTTTGATCTATTATTTTGGTTGTCTTCTGATGTTGTATGAGCTAGGTTCCATGGTCATTCATTCATTCATTTATTAATGAAGTTAGCATTTGCATTTTGCACTTGCTATTTCCGTGCTTGTGAAGTTCTTTTCACAGATTCCCTTTATTCACTCTGAATTTCTCTCATGAGATGCTTTTATGAAGACTCTATTTAAATATAGCTCCCCCTCCCCAAGTCCATCACTCTCTTATTTTATTTCACAGCACTTACCTCCACCTGGCTTTTGTTGCATGTATATATATATTTATTTACTGCCTTTCTCTTCTAGAAATTCTCACCAGTGCAGGAACTTTGTCTGTTTTGTTCAGTGGTCTATTCCCAGCATCTAGCACATAGTAAGCGCTTAGTAAATATTTGCTGAATGAGTGCATGCATGACAGGCATGTCCCCATTTCTCCCGACGGGGCCTACCTACAGACCCAGAGAGGAAGGCTCCCGATGACCTGGTCAATATGTCAGAATTCCTACGGTATTTCTACAGATTGCAAGCCTACCCAGGTTTTTGCTCCATATTTGTGTAACACTTGACAGTTTTCAGAGTGCTTTCACGTTAGACTGTCTCTTTTGATTCCTTGGATAATGCTATGAAGCCAATAAGAATTTTCAGGTCTATTTTACAAATGAGAGCGATTAGGAGATGGAATTTGTGAGGTATTTCAGAGGCAGAGCTGGAAACCAGATTTGCTGACTTCAAGCTCATCAAGTGATTACCCAGAATTATGCTTCATCTCCACAATGAATGTATATGGTTTTGAGGGCAAGGGTTTTAATGACTTTTTAAAAAATATTTTTCATGGTGCTTTACACACAGTGCACTTACTAAAGGTGTATTGATTTGAACTTTTCAATCCACAGAATAGTGGTGGAAGTATCTTTTCCAGCTGAAACTAGAGGGATAAGTTTTGGCTACTTTTTTCCTTTACTTGCATCGCCCACTTCTTGGATAGACACTGAGAGAAGCAGAGGTTCACCTTATCTGTGCATCCACAGATTCAGTGGGCCAGGCTGTACATTTGCACAGGAGCCACCTAGGAACCTTGTTGATACTCAGATTCAGTTGATCTCATGTAGGGCCTGAGAAGTCTGCATTTTTAACAAGCTCCCCGGCAGTTCCAGTGCTGCTGGTCTGTGGTCCACACTTTGATTATTTCAGGGATAAGTAACCACATGAAAGAAGTTCTATTTGGCTGTCTGTATGACCCTAGTAAGTTTCTTGGAGATACTGTAGCATATTGGGTAAGCTATATTGCTTTGGTTAAAATTCTGCCTCCTCTCTTTCTATGTAACCTCAAACACATTACTGAACTTTTGGGGCCTTAATTTCCTCTTTAAAAATGGGACCATTTTAGTACTTAACTTTTGTAGTTGTCATGAGGATTAACTGAGTTAATTCTTTTGGAGCAACTGCAGGTAGTGCACAGTGCATCACCCAGGGTGAATTTTACCTGCTATTATTGTTTCTTTGTCTCCTTGTGTTGTACTGTTAAACATCAATAGGTATAAGATATATTTGAGCCCCAGCTGGTGGGGCTCAGTGGATTGAGTACTGGCCTGCGAACCAAAGGGTTGCCAGTTTGATTCCCAGTCACTGCACGTGCCTGGATTGTGGGACAGGTCCCCAGTAGTGGGGAACATGAGAGGCAGCCACACGTTGATGTTCCTCTCCCTCTCTTTCTCCCTCCCTTCCCCTCTGTCTAAAAATAAATAAGATCTTTTTTAAAAAAAAGATATATTTGAGAGACAGGAAGTTGTTTAAAATATTTGCAAGTTATGAAATAGCATGGTGTCTGTCATGAAAATCCTAATCTGGTTGGAAGATAGTGCTTTTATTAACAAGCAACTCAGTAGAAATCGGCTAATGGTGGTGCGTCTGTGTTGTCACAGCTGTACCGCGTACTTTCTATCAAGCAGGAGGAAATGAGGGGAAAATGAGTTGGCACTCCAGTTTTGTAGTATTATATGTTATTATTATACTAAGTGTTATATGATGTTAAGCAGAGGGAATAAAATTGGTTTATTCATCTTAGTTATGCCTTAAATAAACCAACTTGATTTTAATTGGTGATATGGAAATAGAGGCAAGAGCCCCAGGGGTCCATGAGAATCCATCTGGTGCTTAATTTAATTCATCTTATAATCAGGAGAAGAAAAAGTATGGGAAGAAGTTGTGTTCCTCAGGAAAAAAATAGTCCATAACTCATTTCTTCCATTGACTCAAAAGTGTAAAAAAATAAGTTTTTAAATTAACATACAGTGTTTCTTCCTTTTGTTTTAGGATCAGATTTTATTAAGACTTCTACTGGGAAAGAAACAGTAAATGCCACCTTCCCGGTGGCTATAGTAATGCTACGGGCCATCCGAGATTTCTTCTGGAAAACTGGAAACAAGGTACTTCATTGCCAGCGAGTCTTTCTTCAAAGTGAAGATGATGTTATTTATAATACTAGTCAGAGCCACGATAACTGTCTTTGTATGCAGGTGATGTGAGTGAGTTCCCCTTATTAAGATAAATGTTTAGTTCACCTTTCATTACAAAAGGACACATTCAAGGGGGAAATGTGTTATTAACAGAAGTGAGTGTGAGTGTGGGAGTCAGTATGTGTGATCAACATGTAAACTTACTTTACGTTTTTTTATTAACCGAAGACAATTTTATCACCGACAAGAAATTCCTAAATGGGTTCTTTAACGAACTAATTCTGCTGCAACACAGAGGCTTTCTGGTGAGGCGTTGGCCAGTGAAAACAGGTTAATGCAGAAATTAAACTTCCTTGAGGAATGGAAAGAATTGCAGAGTAACATTTATTGAATGATAAGCTGTGGTGGTGATATGAAAAGTATGCAGTATAATGGGAAATAATCTTTTCCTGTCATTATTGAAGGACACACATAAATTGGTTTTTCTGTTGGGAAACCCCCGGTCCAGAAAAACTTATTACTTTTAATAATATGAGGTGAAGAGAAAATTCTTGAGGAGATGAACTTATTAAACAAAATAATGAAATGCTGTGAAACAGCAGGGAAAAGGTAGCTAGACGTTATATAGCTCTTGAATTAAATATCCATTTTTGCGTTTTATGGCAGTTAGATGTGCTCTTTGGAAGACTGTTAAGCTGAGGAAGGGTGTATGCTAGCTTTTGTCAGCTTTTCGAAAAATAATACATAGTTTTTGAAACATTAGGTTAAAAGAAAAAATGCGTATGAGGTGTTTTTTAAAATGAGTTTAGATTTTCCTTTTTTACTTCAAGTTGTTTAATTACAAATTATCTCAAAGAATTTTTTTTTCTTACATCACTGGAGAGAAAGGTAATTTTTTAAAAAATGGAACTTTCTCTTCCTCAGAAAACATCTTTAAAACCAATGTCTTGATTTCTTCCAAATAGAAACTCCCCCAAAAGACCATGAATCCTCTCGTCAACTGGATGTGATGACTTTATATTTGTCGATAGCTTTACTTTATTGGACTTAGAGACCTGTTTTAGAATGTACTAGATTTGAGAGGAAATGAACTCCTTCCAGAATTTTCTCCTTCAGACTAACTTCATATCTTAAAAAATACAAATAGAGATTAAGTACCTACTGTGATCTACATATGAAAGTTGACCCAACTTGAATAACCTCTAGTTGGTAGCTTTTCTTCAGTGATCCACATTTTAAAAAAAAACATGAAGTAAAGCTATAAAAAATGAGAGGACTCTATCTTTGGCACCCCTCTCTCACAGTGGAGTGAGGGGGCCCACCACTTACTGCGCCAGCGGTTCTTATCCTCAGCCCACGAACGTACAAATAGATGTGAAGCTGTTTATCCACATGGAGGCCTGGGCCCTCATCCCTGCAGTTCCGTGTCCAGGGTAGACCTCAGGCATCTCCGCATTTCATAAGCTCCTTTGCTGGCACTAAAAGTCTCCTTTGGGAACCCAATCCTGTTTTGGTTTCAACAAACATTTATTGAGTCATTAATTATGTGCCATGTTAACCTATCCTATCTGCTAAGGACACAAAAATGAACAAATCTCTTCCCAGGAGATCCCCTACACAACCAGCAAAGAATTTCAGTAAAAGTTTTGGATGCTTAATGTTCTAGACCAGCGTAGAGAGTGAGGGATATATTGTTACCTTTCAGCACTTTATTTTGGAATTGTGTTGACCCTTTTCCTCAGCTAATAAGCAAAGTTCACAATAGTTTTAATGAAATATCTTAATGGATATGGACAGGTACAAGTCAAACTGTATTCATTTTAATCACATTTGATTTCACACAGCGAGGTGCTGCAGGTATATCTTGTAAATCAGGTGCGTCCTTTCAGGTTGTTGACAAGTTCCCTGGGAAGCCCCTAGACTGTAAAGTTTCTACATTATTGATTTAAGGGGTGTTTTAAAATGTTATCAGCCACCTTCCAGACCATGATTAGTGTCACTCCTGAGAAGCAGAGGTTTAATATTTCATAATTTCATTGCAGATTTATGTTTTCCATATCCTTTTCCTTATAAAAGTACAAACTTATGCTAGAATTTCTCTTTAGAAGCGTTGCTGAACAGACTCACTGACACAACCAAATTGTATAGAAAAATCTATATGCAGAAGGGCCTCAGTGATAGAAGTGCTCCTGGGATTAACGTGTATGTTAATATCCACTAATTGGGATGTTATTTTGTTGGGGACCACCCTGCCTGGTCTCAGGAAGCTGTAACCCCCCCATGACTTAGGCTGAGTGAAAGACCTCTGGACCAGGAGCCACTAAGGAGACAAAACTTATTTTCCTGGCATAAACACTGCCTGTTCTAATTCCTGGCTCTCATTGCATTATTGGCAGTCAATGACGGGTAACAATTCTCTAAGAAAGAGAATGAATCTAAGACAGACGCAATCACGTGGAAATGCCCTAAGGGAAGAGACTTGGGGCTGTGGATATGAAGGGGTGATGGACATCAACCCCTGCCCCCTCAGCTTTGTCAAAGCCTGAGTCCTTGTGAGAAATCCAAGTCTCCTGGCTGCCTTTGTCTTCTCTGTTGACTCAGGCCTGCGGAAATAGCAGGGGTGGTGCAGCCCAGACCAGAAACGGTGGTCAGCAAGGGTAATCAGGCCTGGGACATAGAATATGCAAGATCCTGTGAGATCTGTTTGCTGGAGGATGTTATTAACTTGGAATTTAAAGGCACAGACAGGAAACCTTTGGAACCTGTAGTCCTTTCATATGTTAAAACCCCAAACTTTGCCCAGAATCACAGTGGGGGTTCTGTCTGCAACTTTGTAAGTCACCTACTTCTTTTGATCTTTTCTGCCAGACTGTGAATCCACAAACTAAGTCTGTATTCTCAATAAAAATCTGCTCGGGAATGGATATGGCATGCTCTCCACTGGAGAAAGTGGCCCTTCTGTCCCTATTTCCTCACAGGACCTGGTTGTCTCTGTGTATGTTTTTCTCGTGTTTCGACAAGCATCCGCAGCAGAGATGGATACTGCTGGCCAGTACTATCCACTTATTCACATATCCACATATCTACTATCCACTTATCCATTATTTTTTTTAGCCTCTTCTCAATAAAAAACCTCATCCCATTTATCTTCCCCACTCCTCCCAACTCCCCTCACTCTTACACAGTCATTTGGGTTCCAGAGCCATAGGCAGATGGCGTTAGAATCTGTACAGCTGCTGCTTAGCTATATGATGTTGTATGATTGAGGCAGGGAAACCAGTTGGGAGGCCTTTGCTGATGTTCCTTGTGAGAACTGATGAGGAGCTAAACTAAAACAGTGGAAGCGAGGGTAGATAAGAAAGGGTTCATGGGGGCATATAGATGTGAAGAAGGCAGGACCTGACTGCTGATCAGTTTTGTGGGATGTGATGAGGGAAATGGTAGAGTCCAAATTAACTGTGAGGGTTCTAGCCTGGGTTGGTAATAGGACTACTCATTTAGTATTGTCTCCCTTCTCTAGTGTTCTGTTAGTAGTCACCCTCTGCTGGTGCTGCTTATGAAACCCTTAGCTATGAGTGGTCAAGTGCATGAGCTTCAGTGTTTGGGCCATGGGGTGTTTTCTTGATTGCTCCCATCTGTAGAGTCTGTATTGCATAGTCAAGGTCTTGAGACCAGTAAATCCAGATAAGCAGGTTTTACTGTATATGAAACACATTTGTCCTTTTCTAATGGATTCAGGGGCATCCTTTGTAAACATCAGGTATTGGCCGATTGTGTAATTTTGGGGTCACCATTAAAAACTACTGAAATGGGAAAAGCCCCTACACTCTCTTCTGCTGTGCTTATTTAACTGGTCTGGCTGCTTTTTACGAGGTCTGTCCAGAAGCTATCCAGGCATGTAATATGAAAAATAGAGACATTTATTGAAGAAGATACAAGATACAAGAAGCATTGTACACAGGACAATGACTCCTTACTCCCCTTCAAACTAGGTACCTTGGGACCTCACACAGTTCTAGTCACTATCAGCTGCCCTATTGTATTTTCCTGAATCTCATTGACAGTCCAAAAATTCTTCCCTTTCAAAGATGATTTTAGTTTGGGGAGAGGCCAGAAGTCACAGGGTACCAAATCTGGGCTGTAGCAGGGCTGAGTCATCTGGGTGATTTGATGTTTCACTAAAAAACCCTGCTTGGGACGTGATGCTTGAGTGGGTGCATTGTCGTGATGAAGCTGCTAGTTACCAATTGCCCATAGCTATGGCCTTCTGAGTCATCTGAATAGTTTCCATAGAGGAATGTTTAAGCTTAATGCAAAATTTGATGCAGATGCATTGTTCTACTTGTTCAGTTATTTTGAATACAGTAACCACACAGCACACATGCTCACTCAATGGCATCTACTGTCCCCACTGACTGGTACAGTGAAGTTGTCATTGTTCACACACGTGCATTCCAGTCCCCTCTCCTTGGCTGCCAGGTTACATCGATGTTGCCCGAACTGTTCTCTTTATGTTAACAATGGCTAGAGTTTTTCCAGACAGATGTCAAAAACTCTGTCTAATTACAACTTAGGGTAAAAAAGTCCATGCAGTTAAGCTGATTAAAACAACTGTCAACCCTCCTTGCTGATTGCTGCCCATTGGTTAGTGTGACCTTGCCAACTTGCTCCTCTTGTTCTAAATACACTTGTGCATCTTTTTCGCCTCAAGAGGAAGGGCTGAAAGGTGTCTACATAGGCTTACTTGTAGGAAAATAGAATGAATGGGCCTTTGTGATATGTTTTCCTATTTATTGACACATTTTTTTGTTTATCTCAGGTTCACAGCTGTAGTCTAAATGGTTGAGGTTTATGGCTTTTCGATAAGTGAAATGTTAATGAGGGTTATTCACTCTCATTAGTGTCTCCTCAGAAGCAGTGACATTCTTCCTATTAATCCTGGGAAAGTCATTTTGTAGTGTGAATGGACATGAGTCAGTGATCTAAGCTCTTTAGCTGGGTGAATGGAAATAGACTGAAAAAGGAGAGTGAAAGAATCGAGACTTATGTTAATGCAGTACCATTTTCAAAAGTCACCTGGTAAGAGCAAACCTTGTTCTCTTTCCCACCTTCCCTTTCAGATAGGGTTTAAGCCAGCAGGAGGCATCCGTACGGCAAAGGATTCCCTCGCTTGGCTCTCCCTCGTGAAGGAGGAGCTAGGAGATGAGTGGCTGAAGCCAGAACTCTTCCGAATAGGTGCCAGTGCTCTGCTTTTGGACATCGAGAGACAGGTGAGTCATAAGCCACTGTCCTTAGCACAAGTTGACAACTGTTTTTGAGATGGAAATGGAAAGTCATCTCTAGGGCTATGAGAACTAGAGGTGAACACTCAGCTGATTTACATTGTCATACCCAAGTCCCTGCTTTTTCTAAGCAAACTTGCTCCTTCCTGAAGTAGGTTGGATGGAGATTTTGCTGAAGTGCCTAATAGTAGGGCTTTATAATGAAATGTTAATTAAAATTATTAATTATTATATAATAGTATAATTATTATGAAACATTGATTAAAATGAATGATTGTTATATAATAGTATACTTATTAATTGATATGTGTAATAATATAATAATTATTAATTAATGTAACTGCTTTCCTCACAGATTTACCATCACGTGACTGGAAGATATGCAGCTTATCATGATCTTCCAATGTCTTAAATCGTCAACAAATTCCAGAGAAGTGTTTTTTTACAATGTTTAAAAATTATTTTTCTACATAATTTTTTAAATTACTTAATTAGAAAATGAGGGAACAGATACCTGCCTTTTTCTCCCTTGAAATTTCCATGGAATGTAATTCAAAGAATGAAAGAAAAATACCAACTAATCCACATACGGTACTCGTTTCAGGCGCATGTGAAATGGTCTTCACTACTAGGTCTGTACTGTTAACTTCGTGAAGGTTTTCTCTTAAACACTGTGAGTAGAATGTTAATGATTGCTTTGACAACATGCAGTTCGAAGGGGAAAAGTGTTAAACTGCCCAAGAACCATGCTGTAGCGAAGGAGGTCGCGCGTTCCTGACCTGCCACTGCGCTCGAGGGACTCCAGGAGGCGCTGGCGAGGCACTGATTTCCTGCCATGAAAATCCGTCTTTAATTTTGGCAACAGATAGGCTCTTTTATTAATTGTTTTGTTAATGAAGTTTCTGTCATTATTTACAAAACTATGAATGTCGTGTCTTTTAAATAAAAAAACCCACCTTTGTATTTGTTTATTTTTAACTTTAAATTCTAATAGTACATACTGAAAAATTAATCCATGAAATATATGAAGAGGTTTTATTAGTGATTTTTTGAATCCTGAATCTCTCCAGTAGACTCCATGGGTATTTATCTCAGATAAAGCACCCCTTCCCAGTACATTATTAGTGAATACAACTTAGGTACATAGTCTGAAACTTTGATGATTTTTCTGGTATAGCGAATAGGGGTAAAACAGCAGAAAATAATGCAGCACAATACGTGTTAAACCCTTTACATACATCAGCTTATTTAATCCTTGTTTAATCCCTTCAACAGCTATGTAAGTACATTAAGGTTTAAATCCTTCCAAAAATGAATACTGATATTATCATCCTCTTATACAGATGAGGGACTGAGGCACAGAGAGCTTACGGAAGTTGCCAGAGGTCACAGAGCTTAAAAGTAGCAGCCCAGAATCAAGCCCAGGCAGACAGCAGGGCTCCCGAGTCTGTGCAGTCACGCCCGTGTGTGCCTGCACACACAGGCACACCAAGATCTGTGCTGTCGTCTCCGGCTTCCTTTGCCCACTGAGGTCTCTCAGCTTTACACCTCTGCCTGTTCTGCTTGCTAGCACCTTTACCACATTATAGAACCTCTTTGTTCTTCAATTATGATTTCTTATGGAATCTTTTCCTTCCTGAATGAATCTCCAGCTACTCACAAATGAGAAATGCTAGACTGGGAGTCAGTTGTGTTTGCATCTCTCATCTGCCAAATTCTGGCCCGGCCTCTTCCTCGTTCTCACTTTGTGGCCTTGGTCCAGTCAGTTCACCTCTCTGGACCTCAGTTTCTTCATCTGTAAAATGAAAGGGTTGAGGCAGGTGGTATCAAGGTGCTTTCAGCCCTGGAGTTATAGTACCCTAAGGATAATGATAACAAATCCAAGAAAATGTTTTATGGCTATAAAGAGAAAAAATTGATTGTAGCAATCTAAATTAGAATTTGCCTCTCAGGAGTCAATTAGGCAAGTCCCTCAAAGCACCTCTCCAACTCTAAGTGTAAGGACTAAAATAAGGATGGAAAAGTAATCCTGCTTTCATCCAACGCCTTCAGAAAGTTGACTTTTGACTTATGCCTTTAGATATGGTCATTGACTCCAAATGCCATATCCTCCTTCATAACGTGACTGACCAGCTCAATGGTCAGTCACCTTTGGAGAAGAACTTTATAGTAAATAATTACATTCTATCACCTTTGAAGCTATTCCAATTTCTCAGGGAGTCTGTTTTCCTCCTGTTAAACCCAGCTGGTCATTTTAGTTGATCAAGTGAACAGGCATCATTATCTTCAATTCTAATTTATATGAGGCATCTACTGAAATTGACCTCTGCAGACAATTACAGATTCACATAGGAAATCAAGACTGGTGAATCCCTGAGACCTATTAGAGGCTGATGAGCGTGGCCTGATCTAAAGGTAAATAATCTTGTATTTTGTGGGGACAGTTCATTCCAAGGACTATTGGCCTCTTCATCAGGAATGTTACCTTACCTGGCTCTCAAAATGAAATGTAACTTAGATGACTAATTGGAGGACCCCAGTAAATGCTGATTGCTGTGAAAGCATAAGAGGAAGAGGTCATTTTGGAGGTGACTCTGATTTTACTACAAGCAGATGTGTCTGCTTGAGAACCCTGGGATCAGATGCTTTGTGCAGTCAGAAAATGAGTTCTGTGTTACGTTTAAAGCTTCTAAGTCAATAAAAGCAATCTCCCTGAAAATTGTCACAATTGTTCAATAAAGCATATTAAGTCTTCAAGTTATTTTAATACAACCAATCATAAAGTTTAGGGGCTTAAAATTCTGTCCATCATTTTTTACATGAGAAAAGACACGTATGCAAGGTCACGTAGAAAGTCATACCTGAGCCCATAACCTAGATCCGCATCATGCCATGAGATATTCTGCAGGACATAGCCAGGGCTTTGGAATTGAAAATTCCTCAATTGTTTAGGAACCCTGCCATACCTGGTTTGTTTGTCAGCATGTGAAAGGTAGACTTTGAAAAGACTCACTTTGGCCTTCTAAGTACTGTTTTGGCGAAGACCAACCACTTAAATAAATTCAGTCCAAATGATAATGTGGTTAATTTTATCTGTTAGACTTTCAGAATTTTTGGTGACCTCAAGAACTGAATTTTTTTTTTTAAAAAGGAAGTTCAATCTTGCTTTGTATAAGAAAAAAAAGATGGGGGCTTATTTGGATTCGAGTGTGTCTACAAATGGAGAGAAAATGATCAACGTAATCACAAAACAGTTTCATAAATACAGAATCATCTCACTGTGGTTATTTCAGCACTAATGGGAAATTTAGACAAATTAGTTTGTATGAAATACAGGACCTGAGGAGAACTGTTCAACATGGGAACTGTTTCAGATATCTACCTGGACGTGCGTCCTCACAAGAACATGACATGGTATCTCTCCTGATGGAGCAGGCAGTTTGCTATGGTATATGCGTATGTCTTAAGCCCAGTCTAGGAGAACCAAATCAGTTTCTTTGGAAAAATCAACTGGCATTTGTAGTTCAGAGGGAGACCAGTATTAACAGTATTAATTTTTCTTCCATCAACTCGATCATTTTTTATACAACATAAATAGGGCCAGAGTGCAGGAATAGAAAGAAGGAGAATTTGATGAAACTTTCCAAGGAAATGAAATGCTATGCCCATTTTGGCACTAGGAAAAAGGTATAAGGTGAAATCAATTTCTACAGTTGTTTTCCCGATCATGCGCAAGAGTCTTGCCTCCCGAAAGAACATACGTATTTTATAACCACCACCAAATGATCCTTTCCAGAAATGACCACAGGTAACATCTGGCTGATACATAAAATATGTAGTAAAAATAATCATTTTTAATTAACTAAAACCTGCTCGGGAGAGAGAGTCAGAGGAATAGCCATCTGGTCGGTTCTTATTTAATAGGACAAATGAGGATCAGAATGTTGAATGCAATATATGTGAACTACTTAGTGACCTTATGATGAACTAAAACTTAGAAAGAACAGAGGTGTGGGGGAGGAATCAGAATATATAGAAAGAACAGACAAAATTTGTTTTAATTTTTAGTAGTATTGATACATCTTGTACTGTAAAATGTAGGTAGAATAGAAGAAGCCTAGGTTTTGTGGCATTTTCTATGATTCAATGACAGGAAATGAGTTTTAATTATTTGAGTAGTAAAATGAGGTTATATTTGATTCTGGATTTGACAAGGATGATGAAGAGTTTCAGAAAATTATTGTAAGTAAAGGTAAAGGGACTCGGGAGAAGATCGAAGGGTACTTGATGTCAAACGGTCCCAGGAGTGGGTACCTCTGCCTGAGGTGTTAATAAGGAAGAGTTCTGCATTTCCTCTGTAGAAGAAATGAGTTTATGGTAAATGTGAAGTTAGGTTAGTTCTAGGGAAGCATTCCTTTAATGCTCTAAAATTTGTTAATAAGGTGGTACATTTTCTATTCCCTTTCAGAAGCAGATTCTCCTTTGATGGGAGTGCTTAGTTGTACTGCCAAAGAAAACAGTATCCTAACTACTTCTCTAAACTAGTATACAACAGAAATACTGGGACAGTTTATAAAGGAGAGAATTCAGCCCCACCCCTAGAGTTTCCAGTTCTGTAAATGGGCTATGGGGCCCCAGAATTGGCATTTCCCAGAAGTTCCCAGTTGATGTTGACACTATGGCCTGGGAACCACACTTTAAGAACCCCTCAACCAGAATGCCTGTGCTCAACACCTAGATTCCAAAGTAGATGCATCTTTCAGTAGTAAAACCCACCAGCTGCGGCAGCTCTAAGTCATGAAACTCCAGGATAATAGTGTACATTTTGTTGCTTTTCATAGCCAAGAACAAGAGACAGGACAATGGAAATGACATTATCCCTTAATCCTTTCACAGTAGGCAGTGAACTCGATTATACTTCAGACTTAAAAGCAAGCTTTGGAGCCTGGAATAAACATTTCAGATGAGGTTAGACTCATTATTCCCAAAATCTTCCAAGGGATTTCAGCAAGTCGACATTGTAAGGTTCAGCTGTATGTGATTTTTACCTATTTAGAGTGCCTCAGCTTTTGGTGATTCCAGTGTAATTGCACTTAAAACCAAGACCTATTTTTAACACAGCCCATCTTTAGCATATTTGAACTAGATAAAAGGTTCTAGGAAGGGACATTTCACAGACACTTGGCTTCTTAATTTGAATGTACTGTGTAAGTGATCTCCAGACTGGGGTTAATGAAAACATTAGGTCCTTGTTCTTTTTAACACAAAAAGATGTTTTAAAATTTTTTATCTTTTTAAGTGTGTGTTCTACCAGATTATACATGGTCAGGCATGGTTCTTAGTTGCAGAAAACAGAACTCTCCTCTACCTAGTTTGAGCAGAAAAGAAATCTATTTTTAAAGCGTATTAAGTACCTTACAGAATAGGAAGGCCAAGTCGTTGGGCATAGAGGCAGCCGGCTAGGAATAACACCTGAAACCTCTCTTTAGCACTAACTGCCCCAGGGAAGACCCAAGGCTACCACCTTTGGGCACTTAATACCCAATTGGTGCCTTTGCCACCCTTGCAAGCAGAGCTCTCATTTAATACAATGGCCAAAGATGGATCCATTGCTATCCTGGGTAGCAAATGCCTGTGTGGTTTGTCTGCTTTGTCGGAGCCTCAGTCACATGCCTGTGCTCTAGCTGTAAAGGAAGCTGGGAACGCATGTTTGGCCTTCTGGGGAGAAACGGCACATAGTATTCAAAAGTGGCACATTTACTGATAGTTGTCAACTGCACTATGACAAGGTGGTACTCGAGCGATTGTTCGAGCTTTGTGGTAGGAAAGGACTTGTTGCTCCTTGGCTGTATTTCCACTGCCAGTCAGTCTCTACAGCTGAATTCTATATGTTGTCCCTTCTCGTCTCTTGGTTCCGTACGTTGGGTCTAGAGAAATCCCAGAAGCCCTTGCATTTACTCTTG